AAATATGATAGTCCTGACATGCGTGTCATGTAACAACATGACATAGCGTACTCATGGCCGTTTTACGAGCTCCACATATACTAAATTTGGTATGACGTGACGTGAATAGATGACGAATGTAAACGACACATTCAAACAATAATCACGACGCGGAAGTCATGTACCGCATCATTTACCTCCACCTCATAACGTTCTGCTGATTTTAAAGTGACATATCATCATTTCACATTCGTGCTTTCCATATCATCGATTCCTACTGTACGTGGGTTCTGCCAATTTTATTTTATCGAGCACCTGAATATAAGCAAGCTTGTGCGCTTCTATCAAAGATGCAGCCTCTGCAGCCAGGATTCCATCCCTCGACCTTTGCGGTGAAATAATTTACAGCCCGCTGTGGCCGCTGTGAAGTTTCCTCCAGATACGAAACCTTCCTTTCACTTTCAGCGTCATGAGGCTGTTGCGAATCTCCGAAGAACTCATTTATTATAATACGATCTATGGTTTTACGTTCAGAAGCCATGATATGACTATGAGGGACACCATAGAGGGCGGTTCCAAAAATGTTGACCGTTTGGTGTTCTGTAACATGCACCCGACTTCGCACAGCACCGGCTGCGGGGGCTGCAATTTCGATGGAGGCGGAAAAGTTGTAGGCCCGTGTGCTCAGATTTGTGTGCACGTTAAAGAACTCCAGGTGGTCGAAATTTTCGGAGCCTTCCACTACGGCGTCTCTCATAATCTTATGGTAGTTTTGGGACGTTAAACCCCACATATCAATCAATCGCACAGCACAGGGGTTTAAACCTTTAGCCTCTATCAAAACGTGACCGTCATGATGAGATCCAACCCGCAACCTTCGAGTCAGCAGCAGAGCACCATAATACAATGATCCACCGTGGTGGACAACTCGGCATGCCAGTACTTACTATCTCCACGTTGTGTATATCGAAATTCTGCACCAGCAGCCATACGAAGTCGTTGCCGGGTTTCACGCTTTGCGACTCCCACGTGGGTCCTCGGTCGGAATGTATCTGGACTACGCTGACGCCGATGGTAAGCAGAAAAGTGAGCGTCTCATCCGGATCTTGGTGCTCTTCAAAAACGTGGTAGTCCGCCTGGGTAGGTCCACCCTTGAAGTCCTTTTCGAAGCCCAGTAGAACTCTGCGCCCGGTGTTTTAGACAAGAATGGCATGAATGAAGTGACAAACCATATAATGAACGCAGTTTCGTTGCTTTAGCTAATTTTTCATTGCAGATTTGCACAAAGTTGGGTAAGTTAATTTGTGTTCATAATGAAAGGAAAATGGGTGCAGTACTCTAGAACGAGTGCAAAGAATGATATCAAGAAAGGACATGCGCTGTACTCATAGCTGAAGTTTTTATTGAAAAAAAGTTCCGGGCCCCGTCGTGGTGTTCTAGTTACTAAGGTACTCGGCTGCTGACCCACAGGTCACGGGATCAAATTCCTGCTGCGGCGGCTGCATTTCCGATGAAGGCGAAAATGTTGTAGGCCCGTGTGCTCAGATTTATGTGCCCAATAAAGAACCCCAGGTGGTCGAAACTTTCGGAGCCCTCCACTACGGCATCTCTCATAGTCATATATGTTGGTTTTGGACGTTCAACTTCACATATCAATCATCCAAAAAGTTCGTTTTATGCAACCAGAATCGTCGCACAAGTTGACACAAATTGTTCAAAGCAAGCAAAATTGCGATAACAGCAGGAACATAGTGTTTTTGAAAGAGATATAGATAAGGGAGAACAGCATGTGATATGTTCCTACATAGCGGATGAGTTAGGCAAACTATTTAGGTGAGATGATGACAGGCTGCTGGCTGACGCGTTTGTCTTATCTAGTTATGTGAAGTGCTCAATTATTTCTGCTCTTTTTGTTATCATGATGCCATGGGGGGATGGTGGTGTCAATAAAATGGGAAATACATCCACGTTAAAGACAACAAGCGGCCAGGTTGGAGGTAAGATTAGATGAGGAGAGGGAGCGCCAGTATTCCTGCAACAATGCATTGATGCACACTTGACCACGCGATCACATAAACACAGCCTAGCTTACAAAGTAGATACTTATGAACATGATTAGCCTTGCATCCGGATTTTACAAACAAACCATATTCGTTGAAGGAGGTAAACTAATCTACACTTTTGTGAGGCTGACATTTAATTAATCTCGGCTGTTCTAGAAACATTGGTTAGTTCATGAGGAAATCGATACAAATATGGCGCTAGAGAAAATTTAGTGATCCAATTCACACAATCGTCACAAATTTTCTGTATTCTCAGTAGTGTGTATTTATGGCGTCACGCATGTCCACAAGCTATCGAAAGAAACCTTCTTTCAAAAGGGTTGTTTCAAAAGGTGCTGTTCATGAGCATGCAATTTTTTTGGGACGAAGCTCCTTATGGTCAGGGTTTGTCACTCCTCCGTATGTATGTATGTATGTATGTATGTATGTATGTATGTATGTATGTATGTATGTATGTATGTATGTATGTATGTATGTATGTATGTATGTATGTATGTATGTATGTATGTATGTATGTATGTATGTATGTAGCCACCGATGGCACATACCCACTCTAGAGCGGGTATGAGCCGCAGGAGTTGCGAGATGGGAGATGGCGGTACTTGGAGTGTTATCTAGATGGACGCACGGATGGACGGACAGACAGGCTAGCAGACGGATGGACAGATGGACTCATGAACGGACAGATGGATGAACGCATGGATTGATGCACGGATGGTCGTGCGGACGTTCGGAAGCAAGAACGAGCGGGCGGATGGCATGTATGGTCTGACGGATGCTTCGCCCCACTCATCATCATTCACTCCGTGAATATGCTGTGATTTTTTTCTTTTCACGAAGCCACCTATGTTTACACATGCACTAGTTTTGATTCTCTCTCACTTGGCACGCTATGAAACCGAGACTTTCGACTGAGTGGTATAAAAACACATATGACTAATTAACCATTACTCTTTCAAGCAAACGAGCTTCCCAGCCATGGTGAATGAATTGTGAGCTACGTATAGCAACAGAAAAAATCAAGACGCAAATGTTTTGTCAATGCTCTTTTAATTGGTCTATCTGAGCAAGCGAAGTCACAGTGAAACACCAACCGTCAGTAATTAGCACGGTGTAGGGTATAAACAATGATACCATAGTAATTAGGCACACATTTTCAGAAGGAAGAACTGGATGCGGAACGCCAGCGTCGGGAGTTAAACGCACGCCAGAAAAGAACAAAAGTAATAGAATATATCAACAGAATAGAATCAACAGTATACATAAAAAAGAAGCATGAAACTGCAGATAAACTCTAGAAGAAAAAAAAAAGAAAAAAATAACTGATAAAGAGAATACAGACGCAGAGAAAACACAATCGAAAGAATGCTCTGCAGCTCCTACAGTTATTAAAGGGGGTGGAAGCAGCTTCGATTTTTTGTTCCACACGCCTTTATTAAAAGAGTCAGGCTGCAATGAATACCGCAAAAACAATTTTCCTATTTCGACCCCAATAAATGGCCATGATACAGTGAGGCATGAACTTGCGATTTTCAGCCCACACAAAAAAAAAACCGCGAAAATCTTCCCGTGCGTTTGCATATTGCAAAAATGGGCAGGAAATGAATGCTTCAGTGTAATATAAGAGTTAGCAGGTACCGGTTATGAACCGCCTACCGTTGACGGTGTTCATGAAAACGTCAGAGATATGCGCCTGATAAATGTTACTCAACTTCAGTAAAAGCCTGCAATATAATTTGCTGAGCACCAGATGCACAGCTGTGCAGAAACCGCAATGCAAGTGCCCTATGGCATAGTTACAGAGAGGGCGGTAAAAAAAGGGACGCGTTTCAAAATTAGATCAAGAAAACGCAGCCACCGACTGACCAATATCTGGTGTTCGTACGTGGACAAACCAGGATAAAATGACGAGGCACAGCCAGACGCCGCTGTCCTAATTCTGAAGGAGGAAGCACGGCAGCCATGTCTTGAGGCCCGTTTACTTAGTGGCACGTCGTGGAACGCTCGCGGTCGAAATTTCGAGAGCCCTCCACTACGACGGATATGTGGGGTTTGACGTCCCGAAACCACGCTATGATTATGAGAGACGCTGTAATGGAGGGCTCCGGAAATTTCGACCACCTGTGGTTCTTTAACATGAGCCCAAATCTGAGCACACGGGCCTACACTATTTCCGCCTCCATCGGCAATGCAGCCACCGCTGCCGGCATTCAATTCCGCGACCTTCGGGTCAGCAGCCGAGTACCTTAGCCACTAGACCCCACGGCGGGGTGCCCTTTACAACGATGTCTCTCATAATTATGTCACGGCTTCGGGACGGTAAATCCTAACAATTATCATTACTGCATGCCGCAGTAAAACGTTTACGTGCGCTGACATCGGGCGATGCACTGGCCAGTAGCACGGAAACCTGAGCTCCGCAGGCGAGCCCACCTTTGATAGCTTAAATGTGAGGTCATCGATGCACAAGATGCCTGTAACGTGGCGGCTTGCGTGACGTCGAGTCAGCATAATCACGTGGTGATTAACTTGCTTCAGCCTGACAGAGACGCCACTCGAACTTTATGGGCCTCCGTACACCAATAGCGAATAAAGAAAGATGTCGTGTACTGATAACACTAAATTGCATCACTAAAGTTTCGCGTGCCGCCAAGTTCGTGCTCTGACGTGACGTTTCAGTGACGTCAGTGAAAGCCATCTATTCTACTGATGCGGACAAGAAAAAAGTAAACAAAGGCGCTCGGCTATGATGGCTCACGTTATGCTGTGATAATATGTGTGTTATACGTTTCAACCGCGAACATCTTATCTAGAGAGACTACATTTCTTGCTTTCAAGCATATGGAGGAAGAGCAGGTTTTCTTTTTTTTCGGTATATAAGGTCTTAACAAGACGCAAAGTGGTTTTATTGCTCGATCGCCGTCGAAGGGTGCAACACCCACGACGAAAGCGAGAAAAATGGCCGACCGGAAAATCGATGACCACGATTCCCTGGATAGCGATTGCCGTGACATCCGTTCTCGTTTTCCAGGACTGGAAGTATTTTTCCCTTGCGCTGCAATAAGTGGCATAGATCACGAAACACCGAACGAATGCTGTCAACTAATCGAACAGCTGGCCATCTGGAACCAGGTCCTCGGCTATTCTGGTTTTCAGCTTCGAGAGATAACGGTTCCCGGAGAAGTCTCGCTGGTACGAGTTGCCCACGAAGGAGACCAACAGGAACTTCACAGCCGTGACGCCAGACTCTTGTTCTACTCATTGTTATCCCAGCACCGGTGTGTCGTAGGCCTCGATCTCGACGACGCCCTGGTCGAAGGAAGCGGGCTCGGAGAGTGCCGAGACCGAGTCATCTGGACGCTCCAACAAAACAACAGCTTGCGGTCGCTAAGCCTCGCCAGTACATTCAACGACTACAGGTAAGCGTGGGTATTGACGAAATCATTGGGGCGTCTTATGTCTGTTGCATTTTTGCCTACGAACACAATTTATAGCGAAAGGTCACAGTATACCGCAGGATAGCTTACGTTCTTGTACAGTATTTCAAGGACAGCTCTGCATGTTGACTCTGAATGTGTCATTTTCAACGCCGGCGATTAGTTACCCGTAGCCGCATCTGAGTGTTTCACCACACTGTGCTGGGTGCATTGATGGTGTTAAATAGACACCACTTTTACATGTTGCACTTTTAATGCACATCTAGTTCTACAGCGTTGCGCGATCACCTGACAGGGAATCTTTTTTTTTGCTTTTTATTGTTACATCGTGCGGATAATGGCTGCCCGCCGGACTACACCGAGTGAATTTGGTTGTCCAATTTTTGTATTCTTTTATATATGTCATTTTGCTTTATTTCGAATAGCAGAACTAAAAGACAGGCTAGAATATAGGACTGTAAAAGGTGGGCGCATGTGAAGCCTAGCCTGATTTGGGCTCCTGTCATAGGGGATGACTCGACTGATCTGAGCGTAGCTTTGCTAACGCTTGATAACAGCGCTCCGCTGTTCTCGTTCCACTTAACGTCGACAGCACCTCGTGAAACCGAGGCTCAGCTGGCCACTCCGTCAACTTAACGCGCACTTACGACTACATACAGGCAAACATGCGTGTCTGAAGACCACGATCCATAAACGTGCATCGTGACGGCGTGTGTGTGTTCGGACGAGGTATTGGCAAGTTGGATTAAATTTTCGATGTCACAGATTATCTATTAGACCAATGATATGCTCCAGTAATATGTATCGGATAGCCAGCTTGCCCAAGAGCACCACATACCACAGCCACAAATATGTCCCGCTTTTATATTAGAGCATCAATTCTAATTTTTGTCCTCTGTAGCTCTGCATCATAGAAATAGAACCGACACAGCAGTTCATTTTTTTTTAGTGACATGATGCGATTACGTATGTTCAGTCGCTTTCGAATTACCACTGTTGCTCTATATTGGAACACTGGTAAATATTGGCACGGAGGAAAGGCCTGCAGTGCGTAGTAAATGAAATTTATTTATTTTATTTATTTGGCTATACTGCAGCCGAAGTAGAGGGCTATAGCAGGAGAGGATGATTAATACAGGACGAAAACAACGGAGCCAAGACAATAATATAAAACTAGAAGACATGAGAGCAATATGCAGAAAAGCAACACTCGGTATATTACAAACAAGAACTTGCATATATTCGAAGTGGTTAGTAGCGGCATCAATGAAATATTTCAATAGCAGTAAGCCAATCCTTTACGGTAGGGAATTCTAGAGTTCTATAGTACATGAAAAAAAACCGTATATAACCGTTGATAACCGTATATAATAGCTTTAAAGATTAGGTATACTGTAACGAGAATGGAACGATACGATGTTTAGTGATTGCAGGAGCCTAAGAGGGTGAGAAGTTGTGGCTATAGTGACAGTATATGAAATCGATGACTTTACGTTGGACGCTGTAAAGGATTTTTTAGGTCACCTTGTTTGTGAGGGTACCAAACTACAGGTGCGTATTATAAGGTAGGCCGAATAAACTTCTTTTGCAGGAGCAGTTCGCTATCGCGGGGGATGATTTAGCCAATCACGGTGCAAATAAACAAATTGTTTTAGAGCTTTTCTACCGATGTTCTCAAGGTGGTTAGTCCAGGACAGATTTTTTTGTAAGAATAACACCTATAGATATTAATATTGCGACACTTCTTTCAAGTTGTGTACCATCCAGATGATAATCAAATGAGAACGAACTCTGCCCATTGGTAAACGACATGACGACTGTTTCAATACAGTTGACGTTCATTTGCCATATTTGGCACCAAGCGCTCACAGAAATGAGCGATTGTGAAAGATTATCTTCCACTGAATTGATGGATTCGTACAATACGCAATCGTCAGCATAGTCTTATTTTAGATGAAATCAATTATATATGATGTACAATAGCGGACAAGCACTGATCCCTGTGGAACACTTGACGTGACGTCAACAAGGGATGACTCTACTGAAATAAAAGAAACGAATTGTGAGCGATAATGAAGGAAACTGGTGATCCAAGAAACAAGGCGGTTATGATTAAGTATGATGTGTTCAAATTGAAATGATGTGTTTTTGAAGACAGCGCGATTACGTGTCTTATCTTAGACTGACAAGCAACAAGTCCGAGATAATAGGGAGTTTTTAGAATAGCGCACCACGAGCCCTTGCCACGCGGTCGCTGCCACTGCGCATGCGTCGTAACGCGAGTCGGCGTTCGCGGACCGCACGCACCAAATTTGAAATTGCGTGTAGTAATGGCAGCCAGCATGTGGCCCGCAAGTGCTGGTTTCGAGGCTACGGTGTTGCTGCGAATGTGCGTTACGGTACGCAGCAGAGCAAACGCTAATCTAATGCTCATATGGCGCCCGCAGCGCTTGCAAACGGTATTATAAAACTTCCTAAAGACCTTGCATCGCTTGAGCTGTGTGTGTTGTTGTACATGTCGTATCTAACTTGCGTTTGCAGTTGACCGCTATGAAGCACCTAGCCCAGCGACATAGTTTAATACCTTTCTGTGCAAGCGCTGTTTTAGCTGTCTGAACGAGACCGTGTTGTCGTATCGTGAAGGATTGACTGTGAGCACGCATTAGGTGATTCAGTTGTCTAAACTAAATGAGAACAGTAAGTGGAAGGCACACAGCTTTAAAGAAAAGACCTCCGAAGATTACGATATGGCTCGAATGATAATTGTGAGCGCAGGTCCGTGTTCGGGCAACTCTTTTTTGAAGCTTAGCCTACTCGCAGTTAGCAACGTAAGATTCATTACATATTGCCGCAGAAACTGTCGGCGCTTAAGTCCTACGTACGCAGGGCTCAAGCGCTGCGTATTCAGAGCCTTCGGGTCGGCAAGCTTAACAAAAACATCCTGTAGCGTGACCTGGTCTGGTTTGACTTCTGCCAGCTGCGAAGTTGTGGGTGCTGTTTCTAAAATAGAAGCTTGGCATGCTCTTGTTTCTAAACACTTTACCATTTTTCACGCAAGTCATTGCGTGTGATTTGAATTTCAAGTGTGTTGCATGCAGAACAAATGCTTCCTCTTAACACTGTACCCCTCCTGCTCTCCTTCAGATTCATCCAGGAGGACTTGTTCTCGGCAATCGGCGCGGCGACGCAACTGCAACGGCTGGATATCACTGCTACCGGAGAAGTGGGGCCTGGCCTGACGGATTTGCTTTGCTCTCTGCTGTACGAGGCGCGTCTGTCGACTTTGTCCATTTTGGGGCTTCATTTCAACGAACAAACTACCGAGCTCCTGCTGGACGCACTGCGGGCGAATACCACACTCGTTGAGCTATCTTTGCACAGTAGCGTTTTGTGGTGTAAAAACTTGGCTGACGTGCCAAAGTTATGCAGTTATCTCGCCTCTAAGGCTTCGCTGCGGCATCTGACCTTAGGCGTGACCCACTGGGAGCCTGTGGAGATGTATAAAGAGATTGAGCATGTGTTGGTAGTGCTGGCAAAAAGCGGCAACTTGCAGACGCTGAAGCTTTCTGGCTTTCTCCTGGATGGAAACTGCGCATGCGCGCTGTCCCGACTCGTGGCCCAACATGGCAGACCGCTGCGAGAACTTGACATCGGTGACTGCAGGTGGACATCGGATGCTTCAGCAAAGAGTGATGACGATGTGACGGACTGGGACCAACCAGGGACCTCCTCTACTGTACCGGTCCACGCCTGGCTGGCGCCATTCGACGATATGACGCAGGTCACGCTTGTGTCCCTCTCGATCAACCTCGAGGGCTGGAAGCCAGAGGACTACACGGTCCTTTTTTTCGCCGCTGCTGTCATCGAGTCCCTCAAGACCATTGTGGTTAGCGGTGTGTATCTAAGCGCACTACCGCGAGTATGTCGCACGATTCGTGATGCAGGAGTGGGCGAGAAGGTCCACATGAAGAATGAATACGTGATCAGTCCGGTGACGCTCACTTTGCCCGAAGACTGCCGGGAGCAAATTAACCACATTGTCGTGAGTTCATATATTGATCGGAGCATGGACTTGTTTTGCAAGAGCGTACAGTTCATGTCTTGCTTCCACAATCTAAATACGCTAGGACTCTTTCTCTCCCAAGAAGTTCTTGACGACGTTCCCACCATGAGGTCGTTGTGTAGCTACATAAAAGCTGCCACTCTGCTGAGGGAGCTCGAACTGGGAGGCTGCCATGATCCGCACCTTCACGACTCTCTTAGGGCAGAAAACGAACCCCACAGCCTACTTCTGGACGTTGCCTTCTCCAACCAGGGCCTACGAGCTGTGAGCATTAATCGTGTACACTTTGGCGAGGTCAACCTTTGCTTCCTGGTCCAGGCGGTGTTTTCCAACGAGATGATTGACCAGCTCGACGTATCTTCGTCGGACAGTTCGGAGAATGAGGAGTTGTTGCGACTCTTTGCCACCGGTTTCGAGACCAATCAAACCCTGTTGCGTATTCGCCTTCCTAACTGTGGCGGTGACTATAGCGAAGTCTTGAGAAGAGCCAACGTCGAAGCCATTATGAGTCGTAACGTGGGCCTACGTCACGTGCGCCGCGCACTATGTGGCTTGGAATACGGACCAGAGACGGTGCATGAAGGCGCTGCTATGCGTCTCGAAGAGCCCAGGCACTCATTGACAAGGTTAAAGAACTCTTGCAGATTGACGAGGATGACGCGAAAAAAATTGGTCGTATCTCGGTTGTCCGAGGCGTCTACACTTAGATGAAATTTTTAATTCACATTTTTTAGCAAGTTCAGTGTGTTGTTAGACAAAGAAGCCCGCTATGCTTACTGCTGTTTTAAACGTGATTTGTCATTTCGTGTTTTTGGAGTGCTCCTGTAATGTGTGATGTGCATTGCTGTATTGTTTATGTTATATCGTACCGTGTTGACAACAGCCCGTGGTTCGGAGCAACGATCTCCATTTTCACTGTAATCTGTACTGGCATCTCTCATTGTTCGCGTGTCACACTTTTTAGAATTGACGATGTTACAGATTTTAAATACAAAATAAACGCACTCAGTGCTCTCAGCTAATCTTGCTTCTGTACTTTTTTAGAGAAAAAGAAGCCACATAATCGACCGGGTGCGCCATCAATATGTATTGGTCTATAGGTCATAATGTATTGCTAAAAACGATCACCATGGTATTCGGGGTGAAGCTTATTCTATAATTGCATTCTACCTTCAACACAGATGCCAGATCGTAGCCATACCAAGAACCATTCGGAGCTTAAATCTGTAACAGCAGGCGTCCCACAGTGGAGCATTTTGGGTCCGTACCTCTTCACATTGTACACCAATGACATAGTAAGTGTTGTCCCATCGGCTAAGAGCGTAATTTATGCAGACGATATCAGCATGTTTTTCAGAGCAACTTATGTTCTAAAATGTCAAACCGCTTGCACCTATAGAAAAATGAGGGACAAGTAATCTTCTTTAGATTAATGTAGTAAAAACAGTCAAAATTTGCAGATCTCACGTACAGCGGGAATCGTTGATATGCGAAGCACGAATGAGAAATGTTGATATGTTACTGACTGAATGCTCCTGTCTCTCATTCGCCATTAGCAGCCATTGGCATGTACATTGAGCACAATTTTTTATTGTTCAACAACGCACAGAAGAAATCTCTCACCGGCCCTATCTTGGATGTCAAAATGTTATACTTGTTACATACTACAACGGCTACGAGGGACGAACGGGTGTCGCTATAGGAGGAGGAGTTTCGCCCCTGAAAGAGGGGTAATTGAGAGAGTGAGGAGGACGGCTCGAGAACATTGAGTGATGCTACCTTGGAAACTTGTTTCATCTAGGGACCTTATCACACGTGAGACATGAGCGCTATCGGGCAGTTATCGTGGAAAATGGAGGGCGTGGCCTGCGCGTCCGTCTTGGAGGCCATAAGGTGTAGAACACAAGGCGATGAGTAGGTGCCACCACCGTGTCGTCTTAGCGAAGCATTGGAAACACTTGCCTACTCGTTCAAGCATTGCATTGTCAGCGCAGCGTGATAAATGCTGCGGTCCTTGGAATTATTTATGTATGCCTTTTCTAGTATAAAGAGATATATACAAAATATTGACGTGTTGTTATTGTGCCTCAGGTGTGCACAATAATCGACAATCGCACAAGTATGAACCATGAAACGAGCAATATTTGAGGGTGCTGTGGATCGGCTTGGATTTTGGGCCATTTCGGGTATCGTTTCAGCAGACAGACAAGTCCACTGACAGGCAGGCAGACAGGCAAACAGACAGACCAAAAATTTTGCGTCGAATGTCCCCAAGAAAGACTATCGTCTTCAAAACGCCAAGGACACACAGGGACTCAAACCCGAGTCACCTGCGGGCCAGGCCAGTATTCTCCCACTGAACCTCATCAGTGCTTGCAACTCTGTTTCGAAACTGGCCTTAGGCAGGCTTGATGCCCAGAAAAAGAATCTCATTAATATGAGAAATAAAGCGTTTTAGAACGGCAAAGGAACCAACCAGGCCTCGCATAATGCGCATTGCAAAACGAGTGGATCGTCGAATGCTACTACACTTTACAAAAGCTTGATCTTGTTAACCCATTAAATGTGGTGCATTCTCTCTAGTGCAATGCGTGTGAGTGACTTTATGTGTTATGCGTGTACGTAACTGTGCGAGTTGTGTGTTTATCATTGTATACATCACTGTCGTGACCCGGCAACGGGAGTAGCCTGTCAGATGAAAAACCAGGCAAACCTCTCCAGCTTCCGATCAAAATGATTCTCTCTCTCTTTAGGAGATTGTGGGAATAACAGGAGCTTCTGGCACAACTATTCGTCGTCATCGGCCACAGAATAAAACAAATACGGAAAGTTCCTTGCAAGTGGACAGTTGCTACAACGTTTCTTCGAAGATTGACGAAGGGTGGAATATCGAATGCCTCTCTGTTACGCAATGATTAATGGAATAGCGGGTGCCCTGCGAGTGTACTTGCAGCATATACACAAAAAATTGTTCAAAAAAGGCTCTTAAAGACCGCTGTTCCAGCTTTCGTTGTGACTGCGCGTCGCGTTACACGCAGGCCTGGAGATTCTCGGTTTCACGTCACCGTCTCTGAAAGATAGTCGTTCCCCTCAATAGTGCAGTGGCTCCTTCCCCAGCTGCTGACGTGAAAGTCGCGGCTTCGATGATATTGATTGATATGTTCGGTTTAGCGTCCCCAAACCACCACATGATTATGAGAGACGCTTTAGTGAAGTACTCGGGAAATTTCGATCACCTGGGCTTCTCTATCGTCTTGACGTGCATCCAAATCTGAGCAGACAGGCCTAAAGCATTTCCACCTCCATCGAAAATGCAGCCGCCGTAGGCCAGGAATCAATACCGCGACCCGCGGGTCAGCAGCCGAGAACCTTAGCTACTACACCATTGCGGTGGGGTTGTCGCGACTTAGATATATCTTTTCGGTGGTTGCTGCACATCGTTGAAGATGAAGCGCTTATAGATGCCCGTGCATTCTGCGACGTCAGTCTACTATAAAAGGTCCACAAGAACGAAATTTATGGAGCCCTCCTCTGCGACAGGTCCCAGAAACATGTTGGTGTTTTAAGCCGTAAATTCTGAGGAATGAGGGATACCATTAAATATAATGCAGGCGTTAGGCACCCTGCTTTTAAGCGTGCGTGCTCATTGAAGTATGCCATCTTGCAGGCAGGGTAGACACCAATATGTTTTTCCTTACAATTTATTTTGTACACTGAACCGGAAGAAAGACTAGGCTGCGATTAATTTGTAGCGTTTGTGCGCCAACAGCAAAACGAAAAAAAAGAAAATGATAATAATGCAACGAATGGTGGTGAAACAAATCTACATTTTCCTCATCATTTGTCTCATATTTACCCTTTGCGCAATTCGAACCAAACAAGCCGCAAAAGTGGGTGACCCGATCACTCCCTTTTTAAATTTTCTTTTATTGCTTGACATTCCGTTCAGTCTGAAGCTGTAGTAGCAAATAAGACGATTGGTATGATCCTCTTTGGCATTATTTAAAGACGTCATTTTACGATTTCTTTTCCACCTTCTTTACTTTGTGAAGGTGATATCTGGTGTGTAAATTCTGTACACTTCCTGACGGAATCACATGTTTTGACACCACATCATTAGATACATCGAATAGTGCGACAGGTCAGCGCTACAAACCGCTAACTGTATGTATACATACAGCTAACATTATACAGCTAACTAATAATAGTTATAACTTGTTATAATAGTGTTTTTGGTGACATGATTAAGATTTAATGTCGTGACTCGACGGAAATCAATGTGTGCTTCCGAAGCTTTCCAAGTAGTTCTTATGAGAGATGGGCTGACGACATCAAACAGTGCTTTGCATTGCTGGGGATCGAAATTCCCCGCGAATATTCACAACGTTTTATACCTTACAAACACCAGAGAAATAAAGGGAAGATGATCCGAGCATTTGCGGAAGTTGTTGCATAACGTGACAGCATATGACGTTTGTGAAAAGACGTAGTTGTGTGATAGCAGGTTTCGGAGACGGTAGGATGGAGCAAGCCACTAATTCTTCTGTGGTAATGGCGGTGCGGTGGTAGCTTGTTAGCACAGTAACGGTCCACTGGTTCAACTGCTAGTGCTCCCGCAATATTACTTTGAAGTACCGTGCTAGTTACTATACGCTTTTTAACAGCACAGATAACCTGGTCCTGCTCATGGGGGAAGATGAGCCTACTGTAGCAGCCTCACTTGTCGACAACGCGGTACTTCAGATGGTGTTGCCCGGATCAACATAGTGACAATGGTCTACCCTCTATCCCAGTCACTGAGATGAGCATGCTTTCACACTTTGCAGGGTAACGCTATAAATGGGTGACAATGTCGACTCACCCATTGAACGCTGGCTTTACGGCTTTGTATTTGCCAGTTATGACAGCTGACCCACCTACACTCATGTAACACAGCACAATGCCCTTCCAGCTCACCTGCAAACAAATGTGTGAGAGAACGTGATGTGGCAAACTGTGCACTACATCTGCATACACAATAAGACCGTGCTAGTTGCCTGATTTATATTCTCATGCATATGTCCAATTGTTTTTTTACTTTCGAGCTCTTTCCTTCACACTGGTAGAGAAGGTTTTGCACCTATGGCGTGATGTCTTTTTGTTCACATTTGTGAAATCAAGCTTAGCTGCTTGTGCCTTTCATGCGCAAACGTCTGTTGGTCATGATTCATGTTTCTATATTTTGTTCCGTAGTCTTTGCTTGTTTCCGATTGTGCATCGATGTTGTGATTGTGCGCTTTTAGACAATGACCAGTTGACCCAGCCTGCACGAACCGACCGCATGGGGACAGCTGAAATTCCACCCATCACCCATAAGTCATATCAGATGAGTGATTTGCATGAATGTTTTCATAACGGACCAACCGACCTGCTATGAGGATTGTTAGTACAGTACTCACGGATTGAAATAGGACCCTCTGAATGCGTGGCCACCGACACAGATAGCGCAGCTCGTGGGTGTTCGGTGAACTTAGGTGTTCGGCGAAAAACCACTCTCGAATGCGTAAAATATTGTTTTCTTTTACGCAACCGCGTCTGGGCCAGGCCGCCTACGCAAGTGTCACGCGTAATCACAAGCCGTACCTAGCAATGAAAAACTTTGCTTGAAATCTTGGTTTATCCTTGTCCCGCCTATTCTGAAGGCCACTTTAAATCGGGCTGGTTACTCTGGGACGTGGC